AGGCCTTTTTTTTTTCATTATATTATTACGGGGAACCCCATAGCAGCCACATCCATGCTCAAGCCTCCAGCGAGGGAACATGCGGGAGCTGCACCCACCAGCAGGTGCGATACCTGCTACAGCAGGTGGGCAATACCAACCAATTGTCAGCGGGTAGCAACAGAACAGGAAACAAATCAACATGGTTGGGAAGTGGGTGCCACTTCCACCAGAATACGGCTAAAACGTCTTCGTATATGGCTCTCACTTCCCAACCAAATCGTCACAAGTGTAAGTTATGTGGTTGCGCTTTGAGGTTGCTACCTCAGGTTGTTTGTGCATCTCATGCTTGGTAGTGTAACCACCTTTTAAACTTTTTTTTTTTTCCTAGTACTTTTCAAAATATGAATGGATGTATTTGCATAATAAATCACGCTGTGAGTCAAAAATGCACCTGTGGCACCAAGGCCAACAACTTGACTCCGAGTCGTACAAGATCAAGTGTATGGTGATGCAAAGTGACGTATGACACCGCCTTCAAGTTCGAAAGAGTCATGGTGAGACAAAGGTGTAGTCCAACTTCCAGTGAAATATGCAGTACTTGAATATTTTCATAGTATAGCGGAAGATTCATTCCGATTTTGCTCATGACATAGATGAAACTATCCTCTGTCTATCTCTTTGCGCGCATGGCTGGAAAGCGGTGTGTATTTTCATATTCTGGCGAAAGATTCATTCCGATCTTACTCATCTTATTGATGAAAGTAACCTCTTTCTCCCTGCTACTTCCATCGATAAGATGAAAATATACAGTGTCACACTATTTTTTTCGTCTTTTTTTTTTTTTTTTTTTTTTTTTTTTTTGTGAGAGAGAGAGAGAGGGGTACTAGGAGAAGAAAGTTGAACTTGCTAGAGGTTCAAGTGTCAATAGCGAGCGATCAAGTAACAACCATTTCTTGCAGTGCTACCCTTGAATTTATTTCGCTAGTCACGGCGGCGAACGGATCGGCGTGTTACTCTGTACCTGCATCTACCCGATAGCATTAGAGACCATGCCAACATGACCAATCCCTGCGCCTCCCCTCAGGTCCCCTCCACGAGGAACATCAGCTGACTGCTGAATGCCGATCAGGGGATCTAACTTCACTGTCTGTAGGCGGGGGGGGGGGCAACCATGCGCATGAAGGTACATGAGGCCAATGGGGGTTGAACCCATGACCTCCTGAATGCCACTTGCGAGCCTTACCAAGTACATTATGCCCCTGATACAGAAAATCGGTATCGCCGCGAGGGGAGGATAGGGACATTTTTTTCTTGACCACTTTTTTCCCTTTCACCCGACTGCATTCGTTGGGGGTGGGAGACATAGGGGCTCGCCACACAACCTTTCGAAACCAGCAAAATCGACGCTGTGTCTTTGGCACACAGCCTTTCGAAACAAGTTGTTTCGAAAGGTGTTAGATTGGTCGGCGTCGAAAGTCATTTTGAAGAGAGGAGATCCTCCCGCCTATCACGAGAGTTTCCTCGAAAGACCTCGAGTGGTCTTGTGAAAAGGCCCACTCGAGATCCAGCGGGTTAGGTCAGTTGGTAAGGCACGCAAGTGGCGTTGAGGAGGTCTTGGGTTCAATCTCCATTGGCCTCATGTACCTTCCTGGGCATGCCTGGCGCCCGCCACCTAGAGATAGGTCGTTGGTCCCCCCAATTGGCATTAAAAAGCAGTCTCTGCTGCTATTTATAGGGGGAGGGGTAATTGGGGAGGCACAGCGACTGGCCACTCAGATGATGCTACACACCTTTGCTACCGGCTGTCCCCTGGCCGGTGTCCCCCATTCGGGTTCCCTGAAGACAATCAAGGCCACCCCATGTCCAACACGACACAATATTGAATTTACCTAGGTTGGTTAGTCTGATGATAATACCTCAAGGCCATCGCCCTTTAAAAACAAAACAAAACAAAAAAAAGGCCCACACAAAACGGTCGATTGGCAAACAAAACAAAAAAAGGGGGAGTTTCCAAGGGTGTCCCCTGGCCGTTGTCCCCCTGTAGGGGGTTCCCTGAAGGCTATCAGGTCACCCTGGGCTGAAAAGGCCAACTGGTGTCAGATTAGACACAAGATTGAATTTACCTGGGCTGGTTAGTCTGATGATAATACCTCAAGGCCATCGCCCTTTTAAAAAAAAAAAAAAAAAAAAAAAAAGGGTCTG